CTACTCCTTCCTTTTAACTTTTTAACATTGTTTCTGTGAATGGTTTGAATATTTTTCCCCCAACTGGAAAGGAAACAACATTTAAGATGTACTGAGTTGAAGGCTAAAGCAAACTCACTTGTAGACTAAATGTGATGGGGAGATGCTCTTTTTTCCCTTCCACACACAGTCTAGCAAATTCTTTTAGGGTCTCCCTGCTACTTGTGCAGGATCTAGGAGGGGCTGCTATTTTAGCTGTTATAATCAGGGCAAAGCTCGGTAGGAGAGAACATTTGAACAGACACATGCAAACCTAGAGAGAAAATGTACCGGCCAGAGCAAGCGTGAAGGCTCAGAAGTGGAAACCTGCTTGCTGAGCAGCACAGCACCCAGAGTGGCTGGAGTGCAATAGGCCTGGGAGCAGTAGGGGTTGAGGTGAGAGAGGGAGCCAGGGCCAGAGTACACAGGGCCCCTGGTAGGATTTGGATTTTATTCAAAACTTGATGGAAACCTGCTGGAGATTTTTGACCAGGGAGTTCTGTGATCTGATTTCCCTGTTGGAGGACTTCTCCATATGGAGAATTGGCCATAAATGGTAAGAGTGGAAGCCCAGAAGCCAGCTTAAGAAGCTCATGCAATATCTGGGCAAAAGATAATGGTGCTTAGAGTCTTAACTTTAGAGCCCAGATTTAACGGTAAGCTCTTAACACTGCTCATACAACTCTTCTGGTGACATCTGTCGGAAGCTAACATAGGAGGTCTGACAATTAAGTTTGCACTAATCCTGGACAATGTGCTGCATACCTCATTGCTGAATATCACTACACTCACCTTCAGAGTACTCCCCTTGGGAAACTATTCCCTGATGCCGGCACCTAGTCCACAGAGTCCAAATTCCAAAGCAATTTGGAACTCGCTTTCTAGAATGGCCATCAGAGCCATCATCGTATTACCCTTAATGCCCTGAATGTCATCAGAATGTCTTCCTTTCAATATTTCCTTTCTCTTCAGATAAAGAAAAAAGTCATTGTGGGTCAGATCAGGTGAGTAGGGAGGGTGTTCCAGTCGAGTTATTAGTTTCCTGGCTAAGAACTCCCTCACAGATAGTGCTGTGTGAACTGGGGCATTGTCGTGATGCAAGAGCCACACCTTTCTCATGCCAAGATTTTCAGTTAAGATTTTCCCAGCTGTTTCTCTATCAGTGTTTACTTGTCATTCTCATAGTCAGCCAACAATTTTGAGGCACAGTTTGACAAATTTTTGCAGTGTTTTCATTGGTCCTGGTCATCACTGGCCACATGGACATTCTTCATCAGTGATGCTTCCCTCCCCTCAGCAGAACGTTTAATCCATTTATGCACTGCCATTATCTTGATGGTATTATCCCCGTGAACTTTATCCCTGTGAACTTGGACTAACATGTCCCTGATTTCACTTCCACTCTTGCCGAGCTTTATAAGAAATTTATGAATGTTTGTTCTTTATTATAATTTAAGCTTTGATATTCTTATGATGGCATACAAAAACACGCAACAAAAATAATGCCATTCAGTGAGAAACCACCATATGTTGACACAAGCACAACTTTGAGACACTAGTCACACCTCGGCTATGAAACCCTACTGAGCTGTTTGCCAGTGCTACCAGTATACACATAGTGGCATTTAATTGTCAGACCTCGGATATAACTTTAAAGTGAGAAGTTTATTTCACAGAGAAAAAGCAGAAGCAGGGAAGTTTTCCCTTTCTTAAATTATTGTGGGTAACAGTTGTATATCTTTATAGTGCACAGGTTTTGCTTTCTTAAAGAACCCAGATATGCATTTCTTATAATTAGTAAGAGCCAAATAACAGCACGTATTTTTGTATTTGCTTTAGTTAATAAAAAGCTGAGGACTATAGTTGTGCCATGCCTGTAGCAGCTGAATAGCCTTTTTCATGCCTACTTATTTGTGTTCTGTTTTCTTCATTGTGGTGGTATTTTAATTATATTTGTATTTGCCCTAGTCCTGGTTTTTAAATTTTTGATTAATTCATATTTAATCCATTTAAACATCTGTATTTCCTTACTCACAGGAGGCTGAGGTAAGAGGATTGTTCAAGCCCAAGAGTTTGAGGTTGCTGTGAGCTACAACACCACAGCACTCTACCCAGAGTGACAGAGCAAGACTCTCTCAAAAATAAATTAATTAATTAAATAAAAAATAAAAATAAGCATTTGTATTTCTTGTAATCTGCTTCACTTAGTTTGTGAGATGAGGAAGGATACGAAAATTTACATACATGTATTTGAAATCTTGAAAGCCAGCTTTAATTTTTAAAAATTATAATGAGTAAAATAACCATTGCTTAGAGACTTGCAATCATGATTAAGTTATAATATTTGTTTCTCATTGATTTTTTCAAATTTATGTTTGTTCATTTTGTAAATTTGGAAGCCAGACTATTTTCAGTTTCCAGTTCAATTTCAGGGTCCCAGAATTGAACATTTATAATTACTTGGATAGTTAAGGCATTATGTTTTCTAGAAGTGTCTTCCTATGAAGCCCTGGGGTCTTTCTGCTTTGTCTTGAGCCGAGTGTGTTTATTGGGTATCTGGTCAGTGCACTTCCATGTCTTTTCCTGTAGGTGGCACGCACTACCCTCCTTCCTGGCCTCCTAAAGACCATAGCAGCCAATCGGAAGATGCCCCTTCCTCTGAAACTGTTTGAAATCTCTGACATTGTGGTAAAAGATTCTAACAAAGGTAAGAATGAGTCACCTTAGATTTGTATACTGTCTTAAAGCATTTTTTAATTATGCAAATTTGAACTATACATAAGAGAGAAAAGAGTATAATTACCCCTGTGAATCCAGCATCCAGTGTCAATAATTATCAACCCGGGCACAGGCGTTTCATCTGTACCACCACCGACTTCCCCATGTTACTTTGGTGAATGCTAGACATTATATCATCTCATCAGCAAGCTTGACTGTGGATTTCTAAAGGCCAAGCACTACCACTTGTTTGGTTTGTTTTTAATAACGCCATTATCATACCTCATACCTTATTATCATCACATATCCACCTCGTGTTTAAATTTTCCCATCTTTCATAAATTTAATTTTATGATTAATTTATTAAAATCAGAGAACAGATCTTTGGTCACTTTGTCTCTCATTTCTTTTAGTAGAAAGCACATTTTAGCAAAGAATTTAATAATTTTTAGTAAATTCTCAACTTTAAACCTATTAAACCTCAACTTTAAGAGCATTATGGAATTTTTTTTTTGTATCGTATAATTTATACATGCATCATCTTTTTTTTTTTTTTTTTTTTTGTTGAGACAGAGTCTCACTTTCTTACCCTCGGTGGAGTGCTGTGGGGTCATAGCTCACAGCAACCTCAAATTCTTGGGCTCAAGTGATTCTCTTGCCTCCCAAGTAGCTGGGAGTACAGGCATCCACCACAGTGCCTGGCTATTTTGAGATGGGGTGTCAGTCTTGCTCAGGGTGGTCTCAAACCCATTAGTTCAGGCAATCCACTGTCTGCCTGCTAGAGTGGTAGGATTACAGGTGTGAGCCACTGTGCCCGGCCTCTTTATTTTTCTTTTTATTTTATTTATTTACGTATTTATTTATTTATTCTGAAGCAGAGTCTCTCTCTGTTGCCCAGGCTACAGTACTGTCGTATCAGCCTAGCTCACAGCATCCCCAAACTATTGGGTTCAAGTAATCCTCCTGCCTTGGTAGCTGGGACTACTGGTGCCCATCACAACACCCAACTAATTTTTCTATTTTTAGTAGAGACAGGGTCTCAAACTCCTGAGCTCAAGTGATCCTCCTGCGTTGGCCTCCCAGAGTGCTAGGATTATAAGTGTGAGCCACCTTGCCTGGCCTATATGCATATCATCTTAAAATACTTGATATCTTGTCAGTTTAGCAGTGACCATCTACCGTCACTGTTGCATCAGTGACTGTGAATGCTTTTTACTGGTTTTCATGCCTTTTGAGTATGGTCTAGACTTGTTAGTACAGCAAGTTGCTTGGTCTAACACTTGGAAGGTGGTGATTATTTAAGAATATATGTTTAGTGAGTACCTAAATCTCATTGCAAACGTCTTCAATGAAGTTTGTCTTACTCAAACTCTGTCTCTAATATCTGATATAAGTACAACTGACTATTCCGAGCTGTTTGTGTGGTAATCTGCTGGCAACCAGTGCCTCAAGTAACTCAGCTGCTGATAGTGCATCTTTGGTTCCCCAGATTTAACAGATTAAATTCGAACAGTGTTTATTCAGTGATCCTTAATCCAAACTCCATAGAATTTTGAATCAACTAACAAAAGCAGAGACCTTTTCTCAATTTCTCCGGAAGAGGATAGTCGGTAACATCCTTAACCATCAAAAGTCGTCAAAACTATTGGCTATAAATTGATCCATCTTGGGAAATAGATTTGATTTTTTGTTTTGCCTCTAGTAGAGTATAGTGGCATCATAGCTCACCATAGGCTCAAACTCCCAGCTCAAGTGATCCTCCTGCCTCAGTCTCCCAAGTTTCTGGGACTACAGATGCCTACCACCACACCCGGCTACTTTTTCTCTGAGGTCAGACAATTAAGTTTCTGAACTTATCCTAGAATAACTGCTACATATCTCACTGCTGAATATCACCATGATCACCTTTGAATTACTTCCCTTGGGAAGCTGTGCATGCCAGTGCCTAGTCACCCTTCGAAGCACTTTTTTCTAGGATGAGTTTGTGAACTTAATTATCAGACCTGTATTTTTGGTAGAGACAGTGTTTTGTTCTTGCTTAGACTAGTCTTGAACTCCTGGCCTCAAATGATCCTCCTATCTTGGCTTCCCAGAGCGCTAGGATTACAGGACTGAGCCATGACTCTAGGCTGGGAAATAGATTATGGAGGTATAATCCCTTTGACTCACATATGTGGCCTGTCCATAGCAAACTTTTCAGCCAAGGTTGGATTCTATCCAATATTTTTGCCCCATTTAATATATTGGGAACTAAAGGCAGAAAGGTAGTAATTTTTTCAGGGCTACAAAAAATATTGAGCTTGGACCTGGGGCCAGAATTTAGGTGTAGTGTACATATCTTTAGAAAATAAAAGTGCCTGTAGCTCATTGGTTAGGGCACCAGCCACATACACCGAGGCAGGCAGGTTCAAACCCAGCCAGGGCCAGCTAAACAACATTGACAACTGCAACAAAAAAAATAGCCGGGCATTATGGTGGATCCCTGTAGTCCCAGCTACTTGGGAGGCTGAGGCAAGAAAATCACTTAAGCCCAAAAGTTTGAGGTTGCTGTGAACTGTGACGCCACGGCACTCTACCAAGGGAGACATAGTGAGACTCTGTCTCAAAAAAAAGAAAAGAAAGGAAAAGTTCATTTTTAATATCAGTCTGTGCAGAATTTTCTTTGGGTGGTAAATCTATAATAGAAAATATTTTTAGTGCCATCTGCACATAATTTTGAACATTCTTGTGCCTTAAGACCTCCTTCAGTGCCTATAACTGAAAATTTGAAATAATTCCAATGTCAAATTTTTCTGTTAGCTTCAACTTGTTTCCTTTCATCTTAGTTCTTCAAATTTTTTTTTTTTTTTTTGCAGTTTTTGGCCAGGGCTGTGTCTGATCCCACCACCTTCAGTATATGGGGCCGGTGCCCTACTCCTTTTGAGCCACAGGTGGCGCCCTTGATTTTTTTTATATTGTTTTGATTTTTGGTGATGTGTTTGTATTTATATATATAGGATCAGGTTAATTCCACTAGGTTTCCTCAAAAGCATTGTAATCTTGTTTCAGCAGTGGGTCTCTTCCCTGTTTGCCGGGACTTCCTAAGGGCTCTATAGGGCTGGACATGCTCTCAAGTGGCAACTTAGCATTTAGAGGGTGAGGGTGAGGAGCAGCTGGGGTCTCACCATCACCACAGAAAATAGTCACTGTAGGCTTGGAATATTTTATTGTATCACAGTCCTAGGTAGAGATGCCTTTAGTGTTTGCTTTTCAATGTGAGTTTGCTGGGAAGATTCTACTCTGCTGCTCTTACTGTGCGTGGACAGAACTTTCCTATTGAGAGACAACTGTTTTAAGTGCTACTGCCATAGGTCATCTTTTAACAGATCACCAGGTGATTACCCCAGAAACCCAGTCCGTGCACTTTTAACTCAGAGATTTGTTTTTCCCTTTGTAGTTTGTTTCACCAGAAAGAATAGTTCTCATCTCTATAGAAGACCTCTTTTATACCTGTTTTTAGTTTTAATTTTTCTACTCTGTTTTCCCTATCGATACTGATTTGTTTCCATCTGATATTATAATTCTTTTTCCCATCATCCTGATTTATTCTTTTTCTTTAAAGGTTTTTAACATTTCATTGAGATTTGAGAAATGAAAGGAGGTAAATGTGCTCAGTGAGTCTACCATCTTGAAAGCATAGATTTGCTTTAATTTATTTGGAGTGTGTTTTCTGTTTAGATAGGCCTGGATTCTATTTCATAACAAAAGATGCTTTTCTGATAGAGTATTCTAAGTATGTCCATGTGGATTCCCTACTTGCCATCTGGTGTCTATAGAGGACTGTGGGGGAGACGGCAAAGCGCCCCAGTTCCGCAGAGGCTCTGCAGCCCGACTGCACGCTCACTGGCTCAGCTTCTTCATCTGTACAATGGGATAATGATGGCACCTATTTCATTGATGTGTTTTAAGGAATAAATGAATTTGATCGAAAAGTTCTAGCCACATAATAAGAAGGATTGATGTTTGCTCTTAACCTTAGGGCAGGGGTCCTTAAACTTTTTAAACAGGGGCCAGTTCACTGTCCCTCAGACCATTGGAGGGCTAGACTGCGGGCCCTGGGATGAGTTGGCTGCTAAGCAGGACAGGCATTGGTGGCAAAAACACTCAGCAGGCTGGATAAATGTCCTTGGTGGGCCACATGTGGCCCACAGGGTCATAGTTTGCGGACGCCTGCCTTAGGGTGTGAGCAGTCTTTCAGGCCAGATACCTGGCATGCTTGTCTACAGCAGTTTTCTACTGGAATGACTTGATAGCCTTCACTGGCTATTTAAAGGTTAATGTCACCTTGCTGAGGCACTTGGGGCAGATTTTTAAACCTAACATTTGGCTTAATTGGTTCTGTTGTGCTTTACTTTTTTTAGTATAATAAAACCAAAATATGCTAAGATGAGAATTTTCTTAAGAAAATAGGAATGCTATTTTTTTGACTAATTCATCACCCATTTCTTTTCAATGAATTGACAGTATTTTTACCATCTCAAACCAGTAACCATTTCTCTGTTGGATTTACATTAGCCATGTCCTTCCAAAATATGAAACCTTTTTGAAGAAAAAAATTTAAATCATCAAAAGTGAAATGATAGAGGAGTCTTCCAGTTAATATGCACATTTCCCAATTTTTCTTTTTTAAAATTTCTTTTTGAGGCAGGCTCTTACTCTGCCATCTGGGGCTAGCATACAGTAAGCCAACCCCAAATCTCCTGAACTCAAGTGACAGTCTCCTGAGTAGCTGGACCGTAGCCATGCACTACCACATCCAGCTAATTTTTCAGTTGTTTTGTAAAGTAGGGAATCTCTTTAAAAAGCGATTCTCCTTCCTCAGCCTCCCAGAGTGCTAGGATTATACGTGAGCTCAGTGCACCTGGCCCCGAGTTTTCATAGTGGGAGCAATACCCAAACTACTGCTTCAGCAGGGGAGAGGTGCACAGTAAGAGCGAGCCAGACCGTCTC